CTGAAACCTGTGAACACATCTCGCAACATTAAAAGAACTTGAGCTAGCCTAGCTTCTGGGACACAATTGTTTTCCTTAATCATTAACCTAAGTCACAGTCTATATGGCTCCTCAAGATAAACTCATAAATCCTAGCTGTGTGGCACTTCCTTGGTCTTATTTTCTATCAGGGGTGGGGGCAATACCATATCCTGTATTAATTTACCTATATTAAGTTTACTACTAAACTAACTTCTATCACAATCCCTTACTATAATTATTAAAAACCCTCAACCATCAAAATTCTATTTAAGCTATAAAATCATTGCTTCAGTTAAACAGTTCAGCTTAGGAGGAAATCATCATCATCGTAATCCACAGCCAAAAACCCAGTAGAGGCCGGGAGTTGGTGGCACAAGCCTTTAATCCCAGTACTCGGGAGGCAGAGGCAGGCGGATCTCTGTGAGTTCGAGGCCAGCCTGGTATCCAGAGCGAGTGCCAGGATAGGCTCCAAAGCTACAAAGAGAAACCCTGTCTTGAAAAACAAACAAACAAACAAACAAAAAAAGCCCAGTAGAACGTGATATTTCCATGAGGTAATCACAACTATATTAAAGGCAGTGTTGATTCCCCCACATTCATTCACACCATTCCAGACATCAGAGAAAAATGGGAATGGCAAACATGTAAAGACACAGCAGTAACAAGAGAGACATTCTGGGGCTGAAGTCCTCTGGGCTTTGCCTATCTGAGAGTCTCCCATCAGAGCTTTGAATGCTGGTGGGCTGATCTGAAGTGGATGGCCACCTGTTGCTATTCTGGCATGGCCACTGGCAGCACAGGCAACAAGAAAGGGTAGTAGGGTAAACCTCAAGGCCAGGCATCTCGGGGGTGGGGAGTCGGGGGTGGGGTTGGCGCACACCTTTAATCCTAACACTCAGGAGGCAGAAGCAGGTTATAGGACAGCCTGGTGTGCAAACACATAAGCTTATAGAGGGCAGTTCATATCCTAACCACAACACGCATCTCCAACTTTCCATCCTAACCCAGCACACATCTCCAAGTTTCCATCGTGTCTCTTCGCAGTTCTTTCTGCATCTAGTCTTAGTAGCCACTTATCCTGTCACTGTGAACAGAAATTTCTAGAGTTTCATACAAATGGGATAGAAAGTATGAGGATTTTGTGTTTGGCTTTTTTGATTTAGCATATTAATTTACTATTACAAGCTCTCTGCTTCCCCCACCTCATAAAGGGTCTTTTGCATAGACAACTTGAAACATGGGTCTGGTTAGGGCAATGCCTGGGGCATTCATGAGTCGCTCCGTGTCCCGTTCCCTCCCCCCCCCGCCCCAGGTGCTGATGTCAAAGACACTGCTCTTTGCAGGATGAAGCCCAACTTCTAACCCCAGGCTGGACTTCTCCCCTGACCTGTCTTCTTAGCTCTCCCCATCGTCTCCAGTCCATCCCTACCTGGCCCTCCCTCACAGGAGTGACTGCTACATAGGAACTTTTTCAAGGCAGGATTGCACAGCAACATCCTCCCCCAACACACCTGGATTCTAGTACACAGGAAGATACGTACTAACCCTTCTGCTAGCACTAGTGTAACTTTGGGAAAGCCGCTTCACCTGTCTGCCACCCCTGTTTCTTCATTTGAACTCAAGGGGTAGCAATCCCCACCACACATGAGTGGAGAGAAGTCAGTGACTCAGCAATGGAAAGGGACCAGCCCAGTCATGGGTGCTGAGTAAGGCTCCTATCGCGTTATTTCCCCGCTTCCCTGCACTCTGGAAAGCCCAGGTTAGGCATGTCTGGACAGCTGGGGCTTTCAGCTTTTCTAAGCTCAGAAGCCTGTAGTTTCGAAAAGTACCGGCAGGGGGCACTCACTCACAGCCTTACCTGAGTGGTCTCAGTTCTGATTTCCTAAGTGTTCTCGTGTCTTTCTGCAGACAGTTCTTGTACCTGAGCCTGCAGGACATCCTGAACTTCCACGTGGATAAAGATAAGGAGCAATTGTCCTTCTACAAGGACTATTACCGGGGCGATATTGTCAGAAGTTTCCAGGAGGTCAGTTTCCACACCTCTCCATGGCTGCTTCAATCCTGGCTAGGGCCAGCAGGGAGTGGTGGACCATTCATTCCCACTGCTTCCTCTTTATCTCTTCTGGTAAAGATTTACTCCATCCCTGAAGACTCACTATTTAATCTGTGTGTCAGCTCTGCCCTTGTCAGGAGGAAACCACAAAACCAGGTCTGGCGAGATGGCTAAACTGGTGAAGAGGCTTGCTGCCAAACCTGATGGCCCGTTTGATCCCTGGAACACACATGGTGAAAGGAATAAGTTGTCCTCTGGTTCCTACACATGCTGTGGCACACAAACACACAGACACACACACACACACACACACACACACACACACACACACACACACGAACATGCAAATTAATTGGTTAAAAATGGAGAGAAAACAGCAAGACAATGATCTTCTTGGTACTTGGAGAGTAAGTAAATCCTAGAGGCAGGAGGGTGGAGCAGGGTGAATGTTGCAGTCCAGGAGTTTACCAGGTACCTGAACCAGACACTGCTATCTGTGGACACATCTGTGAATCTCAGTTTCTTCACCAGGAAAATGGGACTCAAAATATGTATCCTGAAGGGTTTTACTGAAAGTTAAACAGAAAAGGATGAAGCAGTTGCAGGGGCCTTTGGGTAGGAAATAATCAATGAATTCTAGAACTAATTCAGATCTGTTCACAAAAGGAAATACCATCAGCTGATTTAACTGCAGCCTCTAAAATAACCCAGAGAAAGAAAAGGGGAAAGAGAGGTGGGGGGGGGAGGAGTGTATACATGTCTGGGTCAGAAGTTACTTTTTCTGGAAATTGATTTTAGCATAAGTTAACAACAGTAACAACAATTTTACACCAGTAAAACTACTAACTTGGATTCTGAGAAAATAACAATAATGACACTAGATGATGTATTTTGAACCCTTTCTCTTTCTTAGTAGCTGCTCAAACTCTCTTCCCTTCCCCCTCTCTCTGTGTGTGGTTTTACAATTGAGGAAACTGAGGCACAGACAGTAGGCCTCCATCCGGAGATTGGACCAAAGTGACAATCCACCTTAAGTGGAGGAGCCAGGGTCTCAACTAGATGACCTGGCTCTGCAGACTATTGATCATCATGAAGCAACAGAACATGCTTGAGAACTACATGGATGTATGGATTCATGGCAGAGCAACACAGCCCTCTTGTTCCTGGATCTATATTTGGGATCAAGATAAGACTTTCTCTGTGGAAATGGATTCAGGATCTAGATTGCTGCTCGGGGGATTCTTGTGTTTATATGTCATTATTATGGTCAATGTTTTGCACAGGGACAATGTTTTTACATGATAACCCTGGAAACTATAGATGTCTTTTCAGGTTTTCTGAGATCTGAGGAAAGTAGAACTCAGAGGCTGGGTATCTCACCTTACTGGGGACAAGATATTTATACAAAGGCCGAACTTAGGCTAGGAACTGGTACAGAGAGACAGAATCACATGGGAAGCAAAGACAACCTAACCAGGGGACTGTGAGCATGAAGCAGGATCTGTGTTGCAGAATCTATTCTCTGAAGGTTATGAACTTCTGTGGGACTTCTGGTGCATCATATCACTTTGCTGTAGGAGATGAGCTTTGTCTCTGGATCATGAAGGAGGTGGAGACCTTGGTCAAGAGCTTGAGCGGGGGTAGGGATGAGCTCAGTGGTAGAGTATTTGTGTAACAGCCTTCCTCCTGGAAACATGCTACATTCCCCACTCAGTCTGCCCCGTGCCCCTTTCTTCTCATGAATACCATAGTGGCCTCTTGTCTCCTGCCTCAACTTCACCAGCTTGCTTTTCTCTGTGGTCTGCTGTGTGAATGCTCAGTTCATGGACCCTCCCCCCCTTGGCCCAAGATAGCGAGTAGGATGAGGGGCTCAGTAGATTTTTCTGCCAGTTGGCCTTGTGATCTCTGTCCGGAGTAGGAATGTAGCAATTCCAGTTCCAGGGGATCCAATGCCCTCTTCTGACCTTTAAGGTCACTAGGCATACACATGGTGCACATACATACATGCAGGCAAAAGCACTCATGCACAAAAACAAATACACAATTAAGAATTTGGCTGAGACGAAGAACCCAGGTATTACACCAGCTCTGAGGGTACCATTTAGGGTGTCCAGATGCATGTTGAACAGAGATATTGCTGACTTCATTAAGACTTTCCCATCTCTTCGGGTCTACTTGAGCCCAAGATCTCTAATGAAGAAATATATTGTGGAGTATTAACCTTAACTGGGTTACATTTGTTTATGCTGCAGAATATTACTTTAACTGTGTAAAGGTGTGCTTATGCTGTATTTGTTTAACGGTGCAAGTTTGTGTGTTTAATTATGAAAAGATGTGTTGCATTTGTTTCACCTTGCCTGTATACGGCACCTGATTAATCTAATAAAAAGTTGAATTAAAAACTTTGGCCAATAGCCAGGCAGGAGAGGGATAGGCAGGACTGGCATGCAGAGAGAATAAATAAATAGGAGGAGAAATCTAGGTTCAAGAGGAACGAGAAGCAGAAGAACAAAAGAAGGAGGAAAGAATAAGGGACACGCCTAGAGCAAGAAGTCAGGCAGACACCAGCCAACCAGACATAGAGAAGCAGTGAAAGTAAAATATATAGAAGAAAGGTAACAAGCCCTGAAGCAAAAGGTAGATAAAGAGAAACTGGTTAATTTAAGTTAAAAGAGCTAGCCAGAAACGTGCCTAAGCTAGGCCAAGCATTCAAAACTATTAATAAGTCATTGTGACGTGATTTGGGAGCTGGTTGACGGATTAAAAGAAAAAGCCTGGTACAGAAATAGCCTTACGGGGTTTTTCCTCAGACAGGTTTAGTAAGAAGGTTGAGTCAAGTGTCTACTGCATACGGTCCTGCCTTCCAAGGCTGATTACAGAGTGTGGGCAGCAGAGGGCAGCAATGAGCTTCACATGGCCTTCTGATCTCAGAACCTCTGGAAATTGAACCTGCCTCTCTGATCCTCCAGCTCCATTGCACAGATGGGGAAATCAGTCCTTGGCAGGACAGCGAGAAAGACGCAGGAGTAAGTTAGGCGATTTGATATTGCTTTAACATTCTCGGATTTTAAGGCAGAGGGAGTAGAATTCTCTTTGGGGTGGAATTAGCTACAGGAAAGTGAGTGGGAAATACAGCTCTAGGGGCTGAGTAAACAGAAATCCCGTCCTGGGGACAGACCTATCTTAAAGCTAATGCCTCTTGCTGCTTATTCCCGGTCCAGCTTCATCCCTGACTTTAACCTCTTTTATCTGAAGTCACCCCGACCTGTGTGACTGGGGGCAGGCCCTTCAGTTTTCCGCATCTCTCCTCTGTAGGGCCTCCCTGAAGTCAGTGTGGGGTGCACATGGGACCCTCTGGAACAAATTCTACTCCCTTCCCACTCCTTTTCCGGCACCCATAGAGGGCTTGATCTGGGCACAGGTTTCGCTCTGTTGCTGTGTGACTTTGGGCAGGTAGCCCGTCTCTTCCAAACGTCTTTAAGAGGGGATTAAAGATCACAGGAGCGACGGAATCAAGAGGCTGCAGACCCATAGTAGGTGAGGGTCAGGTGGGAGGGACTTGGGCTTAGAGCCTGTGAGGTGAGAGACCACCGGTCTACGTGTCCGATTCCAGAATTATTGGAGAAGAGTTGGTGGGAGTCTGGGAGAGAGCAACAGGGTGGGCCATTACCCCAGAAGAATTTAATTGGGAAACAAGAAAAGTTTCTGGGGTGAAGGAATCTCTACAGCCGCTGGGCCAGAGGCCTCCCACCCACACCCTTGAGAAGTACGGTAGCTAGAGTTGAGGGTTTGCGTTCCGTGGAATGCTGGTAAGAGCGGTTACCCCAGTTCCAGCCTCAGTTTCCCCTTTGACTGCGAGGGGAAGAGGTGCCCGTGTACTCCGTCCTTGTGTCCTCGTGGAAGGCTCCACCAGTGCAGTCCCGCCTCACCCCTACAACCTTTCCCGCTACCCAGTGCCCTGCTCCTCAGCCAGGCGGGTAGAGAGGGGCACCGCCGCCCCGCCTGCCGCGCCTCCCCGGGCGCCCGCATTAAAGCGCATATGCAAGCCATGAATTATCAACTGAAAGGAGTCAATTACCGGCTCTAAAAACGAGTGTCTGCGCCCAGAGCGCCCCGGGCCATCCGCCTATTTACGGAGCGATTTTCCCCCGCCCGGCTAGGGAGGAGGCCTGGGGAGGGGGCGGCGGGGAGTCGAAGACACCGAGCCGGAGACTGAGGGAGAGCAGAACGGGGAGAGAGGTCCAGAGACAGGAGTGGGAGAGACAGCCAAGAGAGAGAGAGAGAGAGAGAGAGAGAGAGAGAGAGACAGACATACAGAGAGAGACAGACACAGAGAGAGACAGAGAGAGACAGAGACAGAGACAGAGACAGACATACAGAGAGAGACAGACACACAGAGAGAGAGACAGACAGACAAGAGACAGAGGAACCATAAGGAGTGAGGGTAGGGGAAAGGGAAAGGTAGCTTCGTCCTTCCTCCCTCCAAAGCAATGGACCTGAAGTGGTGTCCTAGGGACTTCCAGGCCCAGGATGTCTGTTTAAGGATCTTAAACAGGAAAGGGTGTCCCTGGAAAGGGTGGTCCCTAGTCTAGGGTCTTGGAGACAGTTCTGGTGTTCAGGCCTGCACAGGGTGAGAGGAGAGGCCATCCCATCCTTGCAGTTAAGTGGGAGCAGGCTGCAGCATTGTCCAGTGAGGAGTGACCACCGGGGAGAAACAGGGACCCGATGCTGGTGGAGTCTGAAGTGGAGGTGTCTGCCCTGCCCCTCCGCAGTGATGGAGAAATAGCCCAACGGAGCCTACTGTGCTCAGGAAGTTCTTTGACCTCCACACTCCGGGTACCCTCCTCCGGAAATGCTTTTCTGGCTTGCCTGCTGTTCATTCTCCTATACTTGCCCCAGCTGTGGCACACACCCCATTCTGTTTCTTCATCCCCACCCGACTTCTCTAGCAGGCAATGGGCACCATCAGGGCTGGGCTTTGTCTATCTTGCTAAATACTGTGTTTGCTGAGGGAGCTCTGTAAAACTTGCCGCAGGAAGAAAGGGGTGAAGGTAGCTAGAGAGGACTTTGGCCTAGCTGTGATCGGGATAAGAATGCATAGATCCCAAATAGGTTTGTGCACTGAGAGAAAGGCTTTAGGCACTCATGGTGCTGGGGTGAAGACAGGACAGCCCTGTCTATACAGCAAGGGAGTGGGAGAGGGAGCAGGGATGAGGAGACAGGTGTCAGGGGACCCCAGGCCTCAAGCATTAGCGCCAGCAATCACACCCGAGGCTGGCCATGGCTTTGCCCCAGGGCCCCTAAAATCCTAGACTTCCTCTGCAAGCTTGGACAGGAAACCCTCACAAACTTCCCATAGACTCTTGCTGGGGCAGGAGAAAGAGACCCGGGCTTGGAATCAAGTAGCCTTTCCTCTCTGCCGTGTGACTGTAGCCAGGCCTCTAACTTCTGAGTCTTAGGTTTCTTATTGAGCACATGTGCAGGATGCTATCTAGTTCTCACACTTCCTAAACAGGGCAACCCTGCTCAACAGCAAGAATAGTTGCGGCTCACTGAAGCTTTCAAGGTACCAAGCACCCAGCAAGGGTTACTGCTCCTCTTACAGTCACCAGAAGCTTCTAAGTCAATTTGCAGGTGATGATATTCCAAGAGAGGCTGGGATTGGAAAGGGACAACATCAAGTCTTGAAGCCAGCCTGACACCAGAGCCTCCTGTCCTTGGTCCATATACCTACAGCCCACTAAGACTTTCCAGAAGGCGCAGTCCAGATCCCCCATGGTGAGGGGTGTAGTGGGGGTGGTGTCACAGGAAAGCTGGGTAGTTCCGCTCTAGCAGAGGTGGCCCCTGGAGTCCTGTTCCTGCTATTGCGTGGGCCAGACGTTCGGGCTGACGAGTTTGCAGCCCCGCCATGCCATTACCAGGCAGCCAGAGGGGGTGTCTGCGAGCGCCAACGCTGGGGTTCCTGAGGCCGCTTGCCTATTAGTTGCTGGTGGCTTCGTGGTGATTTATTGGGGCTTCTTCATTTCCCCTTGGTCCGCTATAAACATATTTATACCACCAGAGTGACCGATAAATTTCCCTTATGAATCCCGTTATCTCCCCTATTAACCATCCGTCACCTTTTATGCGGCCACAGTAGGCCAGGCCAGGGCACTGGGGCTGGGTGGGAGGCCTGAGGCCCACAGCCCCTGAGCCCCGTGAACTCTTCACCTCCCCCACTGCTCCCCAGGCAGGGCAGTTGCTGCTGTTTCTGAGCTGCCTCCAGAATGGAGGCAGACTGGACCAGGTTTGGGGAGAGGAGGGGGTGGCTTACTCTAGTGTTTCAGAATGGGAAGTCTCTTTTAGGCTTAACTTGAGTGTCTGCTACCACAGCTCTGGTCTTGCCTCTTTTTACCCGCGTAGCACTCTCCCATGCTGTTCCTGTTTTGCTTTCTTTCCTCACCCATAGCGTTCAAGCTCATCCCTCTAAATGTAGCTGTAAGCCAAGACAGAGCTGTGTGTGTGCTCAGAGGAGCCCGATGACAGCTCATTTGTTGAGCGCCTCCTTCTGTGCCAGTCATTTTTGTATACAGGATACTATGTGACCCTCACCACAGCCCCATTTTCTAGAACAGAGCCTCCAATCATCTAGCAGAGCCATGCTTTGGGGGAAGCTCTCTGGCCCTAAATCTTGTGTGTCCAATCTGTAGACAGCCTCTTCTCATGCCTGGGGATGGGAAATATTCATCCAAGAAAGTTCTGCAAGACTGCTAAGGAAGAGGAGAGGGAGGGAAAGGGGAGGATGGGCCTCAGTGGAGGGCTAGTAAAAAAGGAGAAGGCATACTGTGGAATTTGGAGTTGCCTCTTTTTCTTTCTAGTTGGGTACCTGTTAAGTGACTCTTGGTTTAAAGCCTGTGGCTGGGAAGAGACTCAACAGTATGTGAGCCAGAGTGGCAGAGCCAAGGAGAACAAGGTGTACAGGCCTCTGGGCCTGGGGTGCCCCCTAGTGGAGATGGAGGCTAAGCTCTCTGAAGGATGTCTGATCACTTCTATGCCTAGAAACAGTGTCCTGAGTGGTCTGGAGATGGCTGGGGTAGAGGGATTGGGGAGGGGGGCGGGGAGAGGCTTAGCATCCCAAGGAATCAATTTTCTCCTGACAAGAGGATGTAAGGAAGTCATCTGGCTGTACCTTTACCTTTCATGATCCATTTATACTCTGTTTCCCCACACTGACCCCTAGGGGAGAAAGGAGTCCTGGGTTCAGTCCCCGTTTTGTCACTGGCCTGCTGTGATGTCTGTCTGACCATTTCTCCACCACCCCTTAGAAAACCTCTAGCTCAGACTCCAGGCTCCATACTGCTCTATGCATGAGGACTGTCCCTCCTCAGACCAGAACTCCTGAGGTGGGGGACAGGCAGGGAAAGCAGGTGGCTTTGGGTGGCTCTGGTTGGCTCTCCCATGGTTGTTAACTGTGCTTTAACTGGCTGTCACCTCTCTTCTCTCTCCTTCCCACTCTGTGCCATCATCTGTCTGTTTGTCTGTCTGTCTGTCTGTCTGTCTGTCTGCTGTCTGCTGTTGTCCTTGGCCTGGCATTGCTCCCCACTCTAACAAGGCTGTTCTCCTTTGGAGAAAGTAAGGCCTTGAGTGTGTGTGAGACAGCAGTGTGAACACTCTCTCCCTCTCCACCCCCGCCTCCTCTTTCTCCCACACTCACACACATACACTCTCCCTCAGTCATTTTCAATGTCATAAATTTCCACGTCTCTCTCCTCCACATGGCTATTACCTGCGCCTCCGTCACCAGGCAGCGCTCTCGCTCCCAGATGGGCTAGGCCATCTCCGCTCTGCAAATGACTAAGGGAGAGAGAGGCAGGGAAGGAGGGAGAGAAAGGAACAGAGAGATTGAGAATGAGAGAATGTGAGTGAGCAAAGTCAGACTGAGAAGAAAGGGAGAGAAGTGGCCTTAGGGAGGCACGGTTGGTTCCTAAGTCCCTTGTCCCTCCTCCAAATACTGAGGTCACTGCCAACTGGGAGCTAGCCTGGGCTGCAGGCTAGGGCAGAGTGGGTAGATTATGCTAAGTCTCGGGAGTGGGCCTTGTAGCAGTTCTTCCCCTTCATGCCTGTTTCTCTCAGGTGCCAGCTTGCAGGGGTGCGGTGGGGGGGGTTGCTGCTACTTTGGAGGCAAGTTGGGTAGGAAGGGAAGAGATGGTCTCAGAGCAAGTTTTTTTTTTTTTTTTCCAGCAACTCAGTGAGAAGCAGAGTGAAGGTGAAGGAGGGCCCAGGGAGAGCCAGGACCCCCAAGATGCTGCTGGGAAAGACCTAGGGAAATACCTGATACTATTGCTGTTGCAAGTGATGACCATGTGTGAGATACTGGTGTGTGCAGACCCTGGGTCTAGAGAGCTGACACCATGATCTCCTGAAAGACATCACAACTACTGCTCTCCATACTTCCCATTGAGTCTCTAACCCAGACTGATCATGGGGAAAATGTAAATATGGCCACCTGTGCACACACTCTCTCTCTACTTTTGAGATGGGGGTCTAATTTTGGAACTCACTATATAGCTTAGGCTAGCCTCAAATTCATGGCAGTTCTCCTGCCTCCAAGTGCTGGGATTACAAGCTTGAACCACCACACCTGGCTTGTCTCTTTCTTAACCTTCCAACAGGGGATGGGGAAATGGCTCAGAGAATAAAAGCACTTGCCTTGCAAACACAAGGACTGGCTTTTGGATACCCATCACTTACATAAAAGCCAGGCTTGTGACACACACACACACACACCCCCAAACAAACAAACAAACAAACAAACAAACAAACAAACAAACAAACAAACAAACAAACAAACAAACAAACAAACAAACAAACAAACAAACAAACAAACAAACAAACAAACAAACACACACACACACACACACCCAAACAAACAAACAAACAAACAAACAAACAGTTCCTTACCTACTCAGACAAAACTGAAGTCATATCTGGTCCTATTCTTTCTTCTGGCCTTCCTCTGGCTCCTCCTCCTAGCAGGGCTTAGACGGTGTCGAAGGCCTTGTCACTCCCTGCTGTCCTTTCTCTGTCCATCCACTCAGCTAGTGACATGTGACCCCATTCATCTTTGTCATGGCCATTTAAATACTTACTTTGTAGCACTTCCCTGCCCTACCATTATTTGTTTGCTTAGCTCTTTATTTATTTAGCATCTGTCTCTTTCAATGGATTGCATGTCTATGATATCTGGGACCACATCTGTACCTTCATCAGAAAGTTCCCGCCACACCAGGAGCCCCTAGGAAGCATTTGTAAGCCAGGAGTGATGGTACATGCCTGTATACCTTTGAGGGGTGGAAGCAGGGGGATGTAGAATTTGAGGCCAGACTAGACTAGTTAGCAAGATCCTGTCTCCAAAACAAACAAAAAACTAGTATCATTGGGTCAACTGGTATGTTATTCTGTCCTTGGTTTAAATGGAGCCTGATGGATATTGAGCTAGGGCGATGGTCACAGGCTTGATGTCCCTCTGAAAAATCTGTTGAAATCTTAGCATGATAGATCGCTCTCCTACAGGAAAATTGTCTTGCTCTGGTGCTGGGAATTTAGCTTGTGAAGGGTGCCTATGATCACAGAAAAGTTTGTCCTTCCTTGCCTGGACTTTCCCCATCTCTGGGTGAATATTTGCATATTCTCACAGACACACTTTCACACAGAGTCACAAGGGCATAAAGTGATCTAAGTTGAGTCACAACCAAGGACAAAAATCACTTGTACATGCACATAAACACCAAGGGACACAGAATGATCCATCCAGTTACTCTTGTTTCTGCACAGGACAGACAACCCACAGGTGTGTTTGTGTAATCTTCCAGATATATTCTTTGTATAAGATACATTCATCAAAACCAATATAAACACTTAGACATGAGTGGAAGAGACACCTGTTCCTTTCCTTACTAGCCTAGTCCATGGGGTAACAGCCTGGGTTCTAAGCTCTTCCTTGGCAATGGAATTCACTACATTAAGTGTACCATCATGCTCTGGCCTCTACCCTGCACACACACACACACACACACACACACACACACACTCCTCACTCACTGCAGCTCTTACGATCTTGTGAGACTCTCAAGCTTCCACAGAGTTACTCTGGCTGACATGACTGGAATTGAGATCAGAGCTTTGTCTGTGGACAAGGTCAAGGTTCACTAGGTAGATGGGGGTGAGGATCTCCCGGGTTAAAAGTCAATCAAGGGCTGATTTTCTTGATGCTCTGTCTCTCTGCTCACAAGTCAACCAACCCCTACTCGTACCATCTCAAGCAGTTGCAGGTAGGACCAAAACTCAGGGTCCGCATCGTGAGCCACTGCAGCTGGTAGGAGGTGTGGGGGGGCAGGTGGGGGCCGAGCCTGGGCAGATAGCTGTGAGGTACGTTTCCATCTCTGCGGGTCGGGCAGGCGAAGCCATTTCCAATCTGCTCTCTATCATTTTCAATATCATTAATCCCAGACACTCTATTTTCCATGCCTGCGCAGCCAGGCCCCCGAGTGTGCGCCGTGTAAAGTGACACATATTCATCACCGGCTCCCGGCGCCGGCGCCGACGCTGATACAATATTAGTGTTGCCCCCCCGCATGGGGCCCGCTCCGCCCGGCTCCCCGATGGCACGAATCCATCACCTGGAGCCCGTGTCACTTTCCCCAGCAGCCACATTTGTTTGGGCACTTAGGAGGTAATTGTGGCACATTAGCCAGGGTGGGGAAGGGCAGGGCTCTGGGCCTCTGCAAAGCGCAAGAGAAGGAGGCATCTTCATGTACAGTCCCAATGCATCCTGGCCTGACCCAGCACCTGGCTTTGGCTAGGCTCCCAGAAACCCAGTTCTTGCCCAGTTCTATGTGGAAGGCATGGAAATGGACCCAGTGTTGGCAGGGGAGGGGGTCAAGTCTGGGCTTCTCAGGAAAGCTTAGAGGAGCCTTCTTTTGCAGAGATGACCCTGTCCCAGCACTGAAACACGAATGGCAACCCAAACACCACTGACTACACATGGAGCTGATGGCAGTGAGCCCAACTCTGAGGGAAACTTTGTCCCTGGCCCCAAAGCCTGGTTCCAAGAGAGGATGCTCTTATTTTGAGAAGTGACAAGGTTCAGTCCTCAGAGCCCTAACTGAGTCTGTCCAGGTAGAAGGGATGTCACCCAGTCTAATTATCAGAAGTGGGTCAGATCAGGGTTCTTCTGGGAGACTGCCTGGAGGTGGTGAGCTACACATGGGGGTAGCTTCTGGGAGTTTGAGCACACCGTAGACAGGAAGAGCAGCAGCCAGGGTCATTGATCTGAGCAGGGGCCAGACCATGAAAGGGCACAGGCTCTCCCTCCCTAGTCCACAGGGATAACACCCATTAACCTCGTCAGTAGACAAATTGCCCATCTTGTCAAATTCCCATTTAAAATGCAAACTCGATTTGACAGTGTAAACTGAGCGGAGGTGGGAGCAGATAATCCAGTGGAGGCTCATTATGGAGGCCCAATGAGAGAGGTCTGCTGGGGCGGCCTAACGAACCTGCCATGATGAACCTCCCAGCCTGTTAATATCCCATCATCTACTGGGATATTCCCTGCAAAAAGTCTGGGGATCCTAACTATCTACCACTATCTGGGGTGGTCCATCTAAAGACTTTGGAATTATGGCTGAGAATCCATCCCTACCTCTCTGCCTGGTCACTCAGCAGTTTTTTTTTGTTTTGTTTTTTGTTTTTTGTTTTTGTTTTTACAATAGTACCCATCCCTTCTCAGCCCTCATTGGGACCCTTACATGTATTATCCTACTGGATACAGACTGTAGCTGTCCTGTGAGTTGGAATTGTCAACTCATTTCCAACTGAGAAACCCAAAGCTCAGGAGGTTGTCTTGCTGGAAGCAGCAGGCAGAGTGGCTTCTGGGAAATCCATCAGACTCCGCCAGTAAGGCTTGCAACTGCTGTCCTACACTCTGCTTTGGTTGTGAATGGGTGTCCTTCCATAGGCTTCCCTGGTTTCAATGCTGTCACTTGCTATGTGAGGTTAGGAAAAGTGACATTCCTTTAAGCCTCATTTGTCCCGTCTGAAAAAAAAAAAAACCAGAAGTGAACAGCAGTAGAATTTTAGTAAATTTTTGGCTTATTGAATACTAGAACACTCTGGCAATGTTTGCAGGTGGTTTAACCTAGGTGGTGGGCCAGGGAAGGGAGGGTGTCATGGGAAGAGGACAGAGGCTGCTTTCTGAGGAAGCAGCTACTGAATAGGCCCCTCTTGATGTCCAGGGGATCCCTGGGCTCACACATCCTCCTATTTTCTCAGCTCCATGTGCAAGCTGCCATAATAAGAAAGAAGCCAATGGCCATTCTTGGGGACTGGGCTGGGTCTGACAGGTCTTCCAGGGGAGGATCCTGGGACATGGGAAGGTTCTGCCCACTCTGCAGTGGTCCCTGCTCTGTGCTACAGCTGGGCTATTGTCACCCATTCCTGGATGAAATAATGGATGGGTGGGAGGCTCAGAAGGGCAGCTATGGATAGCTAATGGTTTATAGTTTCACCGCACCTCCCAGACAAGTGCGTATAGAGCCTCTAGCCAGGCTACACTTGTCCCTGAGGTGACACGGGGAGTTATGCTTCCTGAACAAGCTTGGAGCTGGCACTGAGTGACCTTGCATTCCCTGCCAGTCCTTCCCAGGGCAGTAACAACACCATGGCTGTGCACTTGCTTACCATGATTTCTTACTTCCTCCAGGGTGGAGTTCGAATCTCTCAGCTGGCATTCAAGGCCCTTCACGATCCAGCCTCAGTTTATCTTCAGTCTCCCTCATGGCAGCTTTCTGAACTCCCCTATCTCATATGTCAGCGTTGAGTTACCCTCATGCCTTCATTTGGTACCCCCTCTATACTCAGCAGCCCAGAAGAGCACTTCCTTTGACCCTCTCCGCCCTTCCTCACCTAGTTTTATCAGTGATCTGGAAGGGATTCTAGATCCTGTCTTGGGGAGGGGGAGCTACAGAGGAACAGCTGAGGGGTAGATGGAATCCCCAGACTCTCTCCAGTTGTCTGCCCAACCATCCTCTGAGGCTGGCCTAATTCCCTTCAGAGCCCAGCTCCCATCTTCAGGGTGGTGCTTAGGGAGCTGAGAGCCCAACGCTAATGCCTAAGAAAGTCGTGGATGGATTAGAAAGCTAGGGGGATTAGGGCCAGAGCTAGTGGCTGATGCAGGAGCTGAGCCCCCTCCTCCTGAGGAAGAGGAGGCTAATCCTGCTTAGCGACTGAGGAGAAGGAGCTGCTGTGCTGGGGGAGACGTCTTCCTCGACTGAAGCTGCTGGGCCCAGCAGGCATGGAAGAAGAGAGATCACCAGCCCTAGAGAGGGCTGGCACCCTTCTTTGCCCTGAAAACTTTCAACCTGCTGTACTCCACCCACACTGCCCTGTCCAGCCACTTCCCCCAACCCTCCTCTCTCTCCCTCCCTCCCTCCCCCC